AAATCACAAGGCTGGGCTTCATAGTGTGCATAAGAAGAGATTATGTGATATTTTGGACACGTGAGGCAGAATGCTCAAACTGAGACACCACAGCGATTGTAAAATAAGTAGTACACACACTGAGGCAGGATAGATAGGCAAGATGGTAACTAGGTCCTTGGGATGTAGCCACCTTAACCATAAATACAGTAAGCCCAGCATTTGCATGGTAGTCAAGCTCATTCAAGCAAAACTCTCTCCAAGTTAATTTCCCCTGTAGAGAGCACATGCATTTGATTTTACTTGTCCTCAGTTGACCCTTTGCTCATTATAAAAGTAAAAAGCACACTCCTGGGTAGAGATTTATGGCTAATAAGATATGCAATGTATAAACAAGCATGTAAAGCTACTGTGCATGTGCAGCCAAAGAACCACCCATAACATGCTTACCAGCGACACTCTTTCCCACTCCCTTATGAATACCTTTTAAGGCTCCCATAAAGGGTTCTCCATGGTGCCAGCTTTGTGGTCTCATTCTTAAAAGTAGCCTACCCTGAATCCTCTTTCAGGGTATACCGTCTATTCTGCATATAACTTTCAGAGTATTCTTTCTACTTTGCAACAAATTGCTCTATGCTGCATCTATTTAGCTGAGTGTCTCTTAAATTCTTTTAAACTAAGAAGGTAAGGACCAAAGTTGCACAACAGACATCAACATCACTATATTAGAACCAGAAAAAAACAAAATATGTCTCAGGATCAGCATCTGAAAATATAAAGGGAAGAAAAAACAATCAAACCAAAAAATAATTTTTCAAAATTTAGCATGGAAAACTAAAAGATTAACTTTTTGTTAGGTAATAGAACTCATGATAGGTAAAGTCATAAAGTCTAAGTTTGCTCTATCAATATGAAATTCAGATTTCTAAAATGATAAGTGAGTTCAAAAATTGGTTCTAGACCAATAAACCCCCCAGACCACATGAAAATTCAAAAAAAATAAACACAAAACACTTCATAACCATATGTCTACTACCAGGCTTTATGGGACCAGATACCTTGAGAATAAAACAATGACTATAAACATAATCTTACAATTAAACCACAAACTGCATAAGAACATGATCCTCCATAAGGAAAATATTGACAATCAAGAATATTTGATTCCAAGATATCACCAGTGAATTCTGCATTCAAAAAAATTAGAAAATAAATAGGTATTTGTAAAGATATTCCTTCTGAGGAGACAGAGTGGGAAACAGTATAAAGATTGAAGGTCTGGATGTATCTCTAATATTTTACTTCTTAAAACAATAGCAAATAGAGCCAAATGTTAATTTTTGTAAACTGTGTGGTGACTACACAGATGTTTGTTATTGGTCCATATTTTTCAAATTATGTGTGTGTGTGTGTATGTATGTGTGTGTGTGTATGTGTGTGTGCCTGTGTGTGTGTATATATGCATGTATGTATGTATGTGTATATGTATACATATTTTTAGACAGGGCTCTGTCACCCAAGCTGAAGTCCAGTGGTGTGATCATGGCTCACTGCAGCCTCAACCTCCCAGGCTCAAGCAATCCTCCCACCTCAGCCTCCTGAGTGACTAGAACTGCAGGCACTTGGCATCATGCTCAACTACTTTCTTTTCTTCTTTTTTTTTTTTTTTTTTGTAGAAGTGGGGATTTCCTATGCTGCTCAAGACTGGTTTTGAACTCCTGGCCTCTAGTGATCCTCCCACCTGGGCCTCCCAGTTTTGGGATTAGAGGTTTGAGCTACCATGGTCAGCCTCAAATGATATATAATATATATATATATATATTAATTAGCTTGGTCTGGAAAGAAGGAAGAAAGAGAAGCAAAAGACCCAAAAAAGTATAGTAGGCACCAAGTTCTATTGTTGTGTATCAAGTTATTACAAGTGTAGTGGTATGAAACAATACTGATTTATTTATCTCATAGTTAGAGTCTCTGCTCAGGGTATCACACTTAAGGTGTTGACTGGCCTGTGTTCTTATCTAGAAACTCTGAGGATGAATTCACTTTCAAGAATGCACATTCTGGGTGTTGGACGGACTCAGTTCCTTACAGTCGTAAGACTGAGGCATATGGACTGAGTTGTCTCTCTATGCCTAGAGGCTGACCACCCACCATTCCCTGCCTTGCGGCACCTCCTTTCCAAAACTAGCAAGAGAGAATATCTACTGCAGTGGATCTCCTGCATGCCTTGAATCTCTTTTACTTACTTCTTCTGCCTCTGGGCTCTAGATGCACTTTTAAAGAGGTGGCCCTCAACCTTTTTGGCACGAGGGACTGGTTTCATGGAAAACAATTTTTCCACAGATGGCAGGGTGGAGGGAGGGATAGTTTCGAGATGAAACTCTTTCATCTCAGATCATCAGGCATTACAGTCTCATAAGTATCATCCACGTAACCTAGATTCCTCACATGCACAGTTCATAATAGAGATCACACACCTGAGAATCTAATGTCGCTGTTGATCTGACAGGAGTTGGAGGAGCTCAGGCAGTAATGTTCCCTTGCCAGCAGCAGCTCACCTTTTGCTGTGTGTCCGGGTTCCTAACAGGTCATGGACCAGTCTGCAGAGGTCGGATACCCCTGCTTTAAAGGATTCACACAATTAGGTTAGGCCTACTCAAATAATCCCCTTGTAATTACTTGAAAGCAAACTGATCAGTGATCTTAATTACATTTGCCATTTAATAGAAAAAAGTAAAAGGAGTGAAATATCATCAAATGTACAAGTTCTGCTCACATTATATAAGAAGGGAATTATACAAGGAAAAGGGTTATTGGGGGTCATTGTGGAATTCTGCCTACCACAGAAGTTAGGTGCTCACATGAAGAAAGGAGGAATAATTTGGATGTGGATTTCAGGGGAGGTAGGGACACTTGAGAATGAAGGTAACTTGGCATATGGGGATCTTCTAAACCATTTTATTGTGAACTATGATTAACAAAAATGTATAAAACATAACTACAACTGAGTAAATTATTATAAACCACCAAAAAGTTTAAAACAGATGATAGCCCACAACTCGGAAAACTTCCATATGCACCTTTTAACAATAAGCTCTTTTTCCCCTAAAACATCACTGTTCTGACTTTCATGTTAATCTCTTTTCTGCTTTTCCTTATTATTTCACTAAAGGGTATGCATGCATAATAACTATGGTTTAATTGTATTGCTTTTCTTTTTGTTAAGTTTTATTTTAGTTTTAAATGGACAAATAATTGTATATGCTTATGGAGTACAATAGGATGTTTCGATATGTTTTCATTCTGAAACAATAAAATTGGACTAACATATCCCATAAAATTATACTTTGTTCATTGCATGTGACTTTTTTCTATCAACATTATATCCAGAATATCAACTTATGCTATTATATGTAGCTATCATCATGTTCATTATATTACAACATAGTATTTCATTATACAGATATATTATAAATTATCTGTTTATTCTTCCACTGATGGACATTTGAGTTATTTTAAAACTAATACTATAAATATTTTATACATGGCTCAGGCATGGTATGCATATATTTCTCAAGTTTTTACCAATGAGAATTTCTGTGGCATAGGATACGCCTTTGTTTAAATTTAGCATTATTGCCAAACCATATTCTAAACTGGCTGAACCAAACTATGCTCCCAATGGGCATATGAGGGTCGCTTTGTGCCATGCCCTCACCAATAATTGGTTTTGTTAGTTCTGTTTTTATTTGTATTTTAAGCAAATCCAACAGATGTATCTTACTGTAGTTTTAGTTTACTACAAATAAAGTTGAGAAACTTATCATATGGTTATTATCCATTTGGATTTTATTTTTGTTAAGTGCCTTTCAAATTTTTCTATTGTGATTGTCTTTTACTGATTTGGAACCCATGTTTATATATCGTAGCTATAAACTCTTTGTTTGCATGTATAAGCACTACATTTACACCCATGTTGATGTACACACACACACATATATGTATGTATGTAGTTTATGGAGGTAAAATCCCAACATAAAATTAACCATTTTAAAGTGAACAGTTCAGTAGCATTTAGCACCAAGCGGTGTACTCCCTACCTCTAATTCCAAAGCATTTCTGTCACTCCAAAGTAAAATTCATTATACATCAAGCAGTTTTCCCCATCTATCCCTCCCACAACCCCTGGCAACCACCAATCTGTATTCTGCCCCTATGGATTTATCTACTCTCCATGATTTATATAAATGAAATCATACAATACGTGACATCCTGTATCTGGCTTCTTTCACTTAGAATAACTTTTTGGCGATTCATCTACATTTTGCATGTGCCAGTGCCTCATTCTCTTTATGACTCAATAATATTCCATTGTATGGATATACAATTGTTTATTCTTTCATCTTTTGACAGACATTTGGGTGGTTTTCACCATTTGGCTTTTGTGAATAGCACTTCTGTGAACACAAGTGTACATGTACTTGTTTGAGTACTTGTTTCTCATTTTTCAGGGATATACTTGGGATAGAATTGTTTATGTCATATGCTAATTCTATACTTAACCTTTTTGAGAAACTGCTTGCTCTTGACTATATTTTACTGTAGATTTTTTCCTTCACTCTATGACTTACATTTCACTCTTTCAATGGTGCCTTTTGATGAAGAGGGTTTCAAATTTACTACAGTCACACTTATGCCTAATGATTTTTGTATCCTGCTTAAGACATTTTTTTCTAACTTAGAAAAGTATTCACCTATATTAACTCTGAAGAGCTTTTTTGTGTGGCTTTTAATATTTAGGTGTACATTTTTCCTGGAATTGATTCTTTTCATATGGTATGAGATAAGGGTCAATTTTTATTTCTGCCATATGGATATCCAAATACGCCAGCTTGATTACTTAAATAGACCACCTCTTCCTCCACTGCTCTCCATCTCCACTTCTGCTATAAACAAGTGTTCATATATGCGTGTGTCTGTTTCTAGTCTCTGATCGTATTCCTTTTTCTTTTTTCATTTAGTCCTGTTTCCATAAGAGATAGAGAAGGAAAAAGGCATCTTTCAACAGAAGCAAGAATATGAGTATAGACTTCAAGCAAGAATGACTCTTTTGAGAGTAAAGAGTAAGATGCTGTTGCCCTTCTACCTAGTTCTTTCCATGGCTCTCATCTTACTCAGAATAAAGTAAAAATCTTACCATGGTGTGATGGATTCAGTTGTTCTTCCCAATTCTCTGCTTCACAGTCATAGAACTGTGCATCCACACCTTTGTTATGGTCTCAAGAACAGCTGTCATTGACTTTAAGTTTTTCCAAATGACTTGTTTAGGCCAATGGGATATTAGCAGGTAAGACACAAGCAGAAGTTTGAAACGAGCTTGCATCGTTACACTTACTCTCCTTGAACTCTGTGATACGCTGTGTGAAGGAGATGCCCGAGGTAGCCACTCACCATTCAGCCTAGGTCCCAGATTAAGCATATATGGAGCAAACCTGGGAATAAGGCCAGCTCACCCACTGCCTGAAAAAAAAAATCACCAAGCCAAGCCCAGTAAAGAACAGATGACTCACAGTCAACCTGAAGACCTATAGCGATAGCATAAATCATTGTTATAAGCCACTGAGGGAATTATTGAAACAGACAGTGGAATGATTAATTACTCCATTCCAGAAACATTTATTGAACACACATTACAGCAGGGCACTGTATTAGGTGATTCATGTGATACAAAGCTGAACACCATTGTGTTCCTTCTTTCAAAATGCTTGCAGTATTGTAAGGAAAAATGGATTATTTTGCTTCACCAATAGGGACTGAGGAGAGTAATACTGGAGGCAGACTTGGTTGGAAGGAAATCTAGGCAAGAGATGATGTAGGCTTTGAGATAGGACAGTGGCAGTGGGAACATATCAATTCAATACACAGCACACATCTACTCATCAGACACTCTGCAATGTGCTGTCAATAAAATGATAACATTTATATGATTTCTGGGCTTCAGAAACTTACAATCTAGTGAAGAAAAACAAGTTAAAGAGCAAGTATAATAGGATAAAGAAATGCCATTATACAGAAATTTTCAATTTTCTATTTAAACAGCCAAAGAACCTTTTTTATTTATCCATTCATCTTTCTCTTATAACAATAAACAGTAAATACCTGGAATATTCCAGGCACCATAAATTGCTGATTTTGAAGGATTAGTAATAGGAGATCTGCAGTAAGAAAAAATGGAGAGAATGGAGATGGGTGAGATGTTCCATATGGTGGATACAGCACTACAGAGGCCAAGGACATGACAAGGCGTGTTGAGCTTGTTGAAGACTTTTTGGTTCAGTTTGATCTGAGCAGTGACTTCTGAGGCTGGCTATAGGTTAAATCAAGTCAAAAACATAAAGTAACTTTTTATTTTATTAGTTTATACTCTTATGATAGTAGTGAAGTGTTGTTAAAAGATTTTTCAATGGGAAAGGGAAAGAATGTGGTTCCCAAGGATGATCATGGTGGCAACTCTGAAAGCTGTCAGTGGCAAATGGGAGTCACTTGTGTTCAACAACAAAAACCAACAAAACCAAAAATCCCTGACAAACAGAACCCCAGGAAGACCGAAAAGAGGGTTCTCATGCAAAAATGCTTGTTAACAAAATCACAAAAGACTCTGCAGAAACCACAAGTTTTGCACAAAGTTAATTGTACCCTTACACAGAAAAAAAAATTTTTTTGAGAGGATATCTGCCCAGCAACTGCCTGTCCAACCTCAGACTGGCTTCACCCTTGTTATTGATCCATGTAGCCAAAGATTATGATCTGAAAACTATTATGTAATCCTACTCAGTTTTGCTTGACAAACTTTCGTCTTTTCTTGGTTTTGCCTCCCTGAGCACTTGCATAATGTGTATTCCCATTGCAATGTCCATTCCTGAATAAATATCATTTTCTTTTACAGAGCCTCTCTTTGTTTATTATTTAGGTTGACAAAGTATTGAGAATGGACTGGAAGTAAAAGTTTTAGAAGCAAGGAGATTGAAGGTGGTTGCTATTTACCAGTACCTTTGGAATTAGAGGAGAGGTAAAAGATAAACTTTTCCTTGTGTTTCTTTCATTTCTTTTAAACACAAGGAAAAGCCTATCTTTCTTTTTTCTTTATCTTTTTTGGAAACATTTATTTTTAATTAAAACAAATGGTGGTTACACAGGACATTTGTGCTATTTCCACTTCTATGGACAAGAATGGTACCTGACACATTGTAGGCACACAATACATATCTTTAACAAGTCAATAAGAATAAAATTTGATAAATACAAAATATTTGAAGCATAATTTTTTATGAAGTTATGAAGCACAATAAAATGAAACCAGTAAAACTCCCATCTATCCTAAAAATGAGAACCTAATTCTATGACGAAAGTTACCTGCATGTTCATTTCTACTCTCATTCACCTACCTCCTCTAAAAATAATCACTATCCTATCAATTTTACACATGGACATATATTTTATATTTAAATATAACTCATTTTATGATTACACTGTATACAGATACTAAATATGTAGGATATATAAATATGTAAAGAATGTATTATTTCACTTTTGATGCAGTTTGGACGTTAGAAAAATAGTGGTGTCAATAAGCACACAAAAAGGTGCCTAACATGATTAGTCATTAAAGAAATACAAATAAAACCAAATGAAAACTTCACACATGCAAGGATGGCTCAAATAATAAAGCAGACAATAACAAGTGCTGCTGAGAATGTGGAGAAATAGAAACCTTCACACACTACTGGTAAGATTTTTAAATGGTACAGCCACTTCGGAAAATAATTTGCCAGTTCTTTAAAATGTGAAATGCAGTTATTTAATGATATGGCTTGGCTCTGTGTCCCCACCCAAATCTCATCTTGTAGTTCCCATAATTCCATGCGTTGTGGGAGGGACTCAATGGGAGATAACTGAACCATGGCTCTTTCCTTCCTGTTCTCATCATAGGGAATGGGTCTCATAAGATCTGATATTTTTAAAAATGGGAGTTTCTCTACACAAGCCCTCTCTTTGCCTGCTGCCATCCACATAAAATGTGACTTGCTCCTCCTTGCCTTCTGCCATGATTGTGAGGCCTCCCCAACCTTGTGGAACTGTAAGTCCAATAAACTTCTTTCTTTTGTAAATTGCCCAATCTTGGGTATGTCTTTAACAGCAGCATGAAAATGGACTAATACACCTAATGACCCAGAAATTCCATTTATAGGCATATATCCAAAATAATTAAAAAATGTATGTCAAGACCAAACTTCTTCACAAATGTTCATAACAATATTATTTTTAATACTCCTAAAGTACAAATAATCCAAATTTCTACCTGATAAATGAATAAACAAAATATGCCATATCCATATAATGGACTAATATTCATTAATAAAAAGTAATGAAATATTGGTGCCTGTTATAACATATATTAATTTTATTTTTAGATAGAGTCTTGTTCCATTGCCAGGGCTGGAGTGCAGTGGCATGATCATGGCTCACTTCAGCTTCAATTTCCCTGGCTCAAGCAATCCTTCTGCCTCATACCCCCAAGTGGCTGGGACTACAGGTACATGGCACCACACTCAGCTAATTCTTCTGAAGTTTTTATGCAGAGACAAGGTCTCCCTATGTTGCCCAGTCAGGACTTGAACTCCTGGTCTCAAGTGATCCTCCTGCCTTGGCCTCCCAAATGCTGGATTACAGGCATGAGCCACTACACCCAGCCTAATATATATAAATCTTAAAAATATTACACTAAGTGATAAAAGGTAAGACTCAAAAGGTCACATATTGTATAATTCTTTTAAAGAAATGTATAAAATAGGCAAATCCATAGAGACAGCAAATAAAGTAGACTAGTGGTTGTTGAAAGATGGGCAGAGAGAAAAAGAATAGTGACTGATAATGAGATATATTTTGGGGATGGTGGGGTCTCCCAGACTCCCCACCTCTCCACTTACCTTTCAGCCCCCTGCAGGCTTAAACCCAAGCCAGGGCCTTGAACATTCATTCCTAGGCAGTGATAAAGGTGTTTAAATTGTTTTCCAAAGCATTAAAAGCTCAAGCTTGTGGCTAAACACAGAGAAACTACCCCCAACCCTGAACTACATTCCTTAAACTTCCATATAAACCACGCTTGGCCAACTCATGACCCATGGACCACATGAGGTGCAGGACTGCTTAGACTGCGGGCACAAAAATTTGTAAACTTTCTTAAAACATTTTGATTTTTTTGTGATTTTTTTTTAGCTTATTAGCTATCATTAGTGTTTGTTTATTTTATGTGTGGCCCAAGACAATTTTTCTTTTTCCAATATGACCCAGGGAAGCCAAAAGATTGGACATCCCTGATAGAAACCCCATAACCCAATCTCCTCATTACTGATACACTAAGGTAGAGCATCTCTTTTCTTGCTATCTGTTGCAAGGACTCTACAGCCTTCTGTATGTTAAATTCCCATAATAAATGGTTTGTATTATTAACCTTAGCATTTAGCATTTCTTTCTTGGGAATTCCAATCAGCCTCATCTCAAGTCACTTTGTGTGTCCAGGCACAGATTCAGCAGGACGGAAGAGGGATGATGAAAATATTCTGCATCTTAATAGTGGTGATGGCTGCACAGCTCTGAATTTATTAAAAAAAAACACAGAATTGTACACTTTTTCCTGTTTTTTTTTTTTTCTTTTTTTGAGACAGAGAGTTGCTCTGTCACCCAGGCTGGAGTGCAGCAGTACAATCTTGGCCCACTGTAACCTCCATCTCCTGGGTTCAAGCGATTCTCCTGCCTCAGCTTCCCGAATAGCTGGGATTACAGGTGTGTACCACCACGCGAGGCTAATTTTTGTACTTTTAGTAGGGACGGGATTTTCACCATGTTGGCTAGGCTGGTCTAGAACTCCTGACCTCAAGTAATACGCCCACTTCGGCCTTCCAAAGTGCTGGCATTACAGGTGTGAGCCACAGAGCCTGGCCTAAACTGTATACTTTTAAAGGGTGAATTTTACTGTTAGTGAATTATATATCAATAAAGGTATTACAAAAATAGTGGCACTCTGTATTAGTTTTAAGAAATTTGTTAGGGCTGGGTGCAGTGGCTCACATCTATAATCCCAGCAGTTTGGGAGGCCAAGGCAGGTGGATCACTTGAGGCCAGGAATTTGAG